AAGTGGTGTTTAGAAGAGCTTGGATCCCAAGCAAACAAACAGAAATAGCAAGCAGATACGTGAGAATTGTGGGAAAGCACTGGAGAAAAGTGAGTTTGGGGTTCTTTGTCAAAACTTGCCTACTATTTGGGGAACTGCTTTTTCATGGGAAGAGTTTTTGTTGTACAGATTGAGTGGTTGATCTAATGTACACTGAAAAGATCAAAGTATCTCAGGAAGTTCATGTTCCAGAGTGAAAGAAACATCCAGTGTTTTGAGTGGGAGGACAGCTACTGAAGTATCACAATCTCACTGGGGAGGTTTCACCACAAAACTAAACAGAGAAGAGAGTCTATTGCTCCATTTTATTTATTTGGTATTGTTTTGCAATCTGCATTGTTAATGTTAAACTGAAAGCCAGGTGAAGTATCAATTGCAAACAGAATGGCAGCATGAAAAAGTTTGAAGTGTTTAGGAAAGACGTTTCTTCTCTTCTTCCATTTCCACTCTCCCTTCCCCTGCACCTTTTGATAGGAAAACAGCTCTCAAGCTGAAGAAAATGTAATAAAAATAAGCGACAAAATACAATAGAAAGAGGCAATATTGTACAAGCTATTCGGAATCTTGCTCAGGGTATTGTGCAGAAACAAACAGCGTGTTTAGTCTTGATTTTAGAGACTGTTGGGAGAATTATCCTTCTGGGTTCAGTTCCAAGTGGAGAAAAAGACACTGAAAACATGGAGGCTGTTTGGAAAGATGGTTTAATGGTGGACAGGACCACATGGCTTGGAGCTCCAAAGAAAGAAGGCTGAGATGCTGAGAGACCCTTGGTTTTTTATCTTCTGTTGGGATTTGAATTGGAGCTTGTATTCTGATTGGTTGTCAGACTCCCATGGGGCCATGCAGGGGCAACTCTGTAGGCTGTCCTGAGTCCCAGGCTTGTTTGAGCCTTGCTGGGTGATGATGAAATGAAAGGGCTTTGGGCAATTCCTATAGCTCTACCTGGAGATCTTTGTTATGTAAAATAGACTGGCCTCAGCCAGAGTAATGGCCCATTAGCAAAGGTGGTTCTGAGTTTCTACTCTTTTTAGGGGAAATATTCTGCCTTTGTAATATTTCCTAGGATATTTCAATTTTCTAGGAGAGGGGTGGGTTTTAACTTCCAACAAAACCAAGGGAAATTGGACATTTGAGGCCACAGAAATTGAGGGATGAAGCCTATGGAGATGCGATAATAGCAGGGTCAAGTATCTTGGAGAATGGTCATATCTGAGAATATTACCTCAAAAGGCAAGGAAATCTCTCTTTCTTCAGGGGTGTCCATAAGTAGTACAGAAGTGATAGAAGTCAAAAGACCAGAAAGGAAGCTATTTAGAAAAGAATGCTTAGTTCAGCAGCAATGCCATCAATAATCTTTACTGCATAAAAAGCATGGGAAGGAATCTGTTGAGAAGGAATCTGTTGACATAGCAGGGATACAGGATTCCTCATTTATACTCCACTTATTTCTGTACCATTTAAATATTAACAATAGGCCTTTAGGCCTTTTTCTGGATTTTAGAAAACATGAAGTTGTGGGGTGCATCCCAATATTCCCTTCCTCATCAGGATGAGATTAAGAATGATCAAATGTCATGAATACTACAAAAATAGGAATAGATTCTCAGTTTTACAACATTAACTCCAGAGATGGATTTAAGCCTTTCCAGGTATGACCTGCAATTTCTGATTATGGATGATTTTGGGGGAAGTTAAAAAATTGGTCTGGAGATGTGATGGGGAGAATGGATAATCCAGAACTGTTTGTCCTCCTGTTAATCTTCTTGTCTATGGCTCTAAACTTCAAATGAAGCAGAAAGAGATGACATGGAAGCAAGCCTAAAAGCAAAATAGGCTGAAATAGACTGACGCTCTGGAATATACCTATATATATAAAAGGAAATACCACTCACACATCATCACAAAATCTCCAGAACTGTAAAGCCTACAAACTTGAAATTTGGCACGTATGTTCCTCTTGGATTCTAGGTGCTCACGAAGAAAGGATTTTTCAAAATGACCATCAGAGCATTAATAATTTTGTATATTATTATTAACATGCTCTGATGCTAAGGAGTTCTATTCCCCCTCCCCCACCTGAAAAGATGCAAAACACAAGCAGAGGAGTTTCACTTTCACTTTCACAGCACCATCAGCTTTAGTACAGAACAGTTGAGCTAAGCCACACCCATGCTCCTTGCTGTCTCCTTCTTGCTCACACAGCAAATACTGTTTCAGTTTCCAAACAGCCCTCAACTCTCTCACACACTGACAGGACGCTAGCCAGATGAATACCATAGATGCCAGTAGGCAGAGCCAGAATTTTTTTCTTCTTATTTTCCTCCCCAAAAACTAAGCCCAATCACATAGTTTTGTAGCGAAGCATGGGTATCCAGCTAGTTGAAAATAAATGGGAACAAAATTGAACTTCATTAATCACCTCATTGTTTAAAATGTTTGAAACAAAGGAATTGTATCTCACAGTGACTTAAGCTCACCCAACATTAGGACCCAAAGAACAAGAGTTTGAATAGGAATACCATTATCTCTGCTAACTTATGAAATATTGCCCATCTGGAGAAAAAAACTGAAGTAGATCTTAAGATAAAAATTATCCAATTATCTCAATTCAAATCCTATTCCAAGTAAATTTTTGTTTAAAACACTATGCAAAATGCCAGTTTCCTAATCAACCAAACTAACCAAAACTACCAGTTACAGAATAATAGAAAGGGCAAGTCCTGTAAGATTGAAATTTGCTTCTCACTCAGAATCAAAGCAAAATGATGATTTCATAGTTGCTGAAACTCAACAGTCATTAAGAGCACAGTACTTGAAGTAATATGACCCAAAACATTCTGGAACAGCAGATTCTGTTTATGCATTATAGGCAAACTTTCATTTATCAAAAAAACAAATCATCTTATCTTGCCTGGAATAGATGACAAAAACCATGGTGCCCTTGAACATTTTGGGTGATAGTGTTGAAAGGTGTCAAAATGCCTTTCTTTCGAGGATTCAATTTTCCCGCTGGGAGAGCTCCGGTGTAAGGATACGGACAACTGCTTGAAAGCTGGATCTTTTTTTTTTTCAGGAAGGCGGGGGACAGCGAGAAGTCTGCGTTCCTGGGCTAGATAGCTTTTTATGGTAAGTCCCTGGTTTTTTTATACCCTTTTCTCCATTTGTAAGTTGATTTTGTGTGAATGTTTGCATTTGTGCTTAATGTTTCAAACCCTGTTTGAGTCTGTCTTTATTCCCGCCAGAGGGCAAACTCCGCGGGGGTGGCTAGATTGTATTATTGGTTTTCTCTAATCTCTTTTAGCTTTAAGATAGTTTTTCATATTTGTTCTGTGGCAATTTCCTGTCTGTCCCTTTTGTAATTTATATTTTGTGTCTTTTGTCTGTTTGTTTTGCTTATTTGGTATGTCCTGTGTTTGTAAGGGTTTTCTAAATTATCTTTTTGTTTCCTTTTCTTATTTGTCTAGTTTTCTTAATTACTCAGGCTTTTGTCTATAGGGATTCTTTAATACTTTTTTGATTCCTTTTCCTATGTAAGTTTGTTTTATGGCTGACCTGATGTTCCCCTTGGGCTTTTCCTGTTTTTGTGGCACTACTGTCTTCCTGAAGTTCCCTTTCCACAATAGCACATGGTCACTTATTCTTAACTAAAAAGTGAATTTGTTTTAGCTGAGTGGGATGTATTCCAAATAGTTTCCAAAATATATAGTTTTATCTACTGTTAAATTGTTTGGTTTGGTGGATGGGGAAGTGGGTCATTCTGTGCTAATTTTGGAAACATAGGAGTTTGCCTGGAATGTGTTAGGAAACATTGTTTTCATGGAATGTTTGAAACTTTTTCACCACTGCCATTTATTATATGTGACTATGAATTTTGTTAGTTTGGTTAGATGGACCATTTTTAGACAGTACAGATTTTTACTGAGAATATACCATAGTTTCTTGGTGGAAGCTTGATTCTTTTTGTATTAAAGCCTGCCGATGCACTATGTGTCTGGTGAGATTCATTGGTCTGGCTGGGTAGGAGATAATACAGTATTTCTAATTGCTTCCTAAAATAGAGATTCTTGTCTGAAACCAGAATTGAAATGTAAGCTCTTTTGGAGTCATTGCTTTCTTGATGCACATAACTGCAGAGTTTTGTCTGTTTTACAGAAGTGTTTCAGCAGTGGTATTAAGGCTCACTGGTGCCCGAAGCACTGACAAATCTTGGTGCCTACTTCCTTTGTACATACAAAGCCATATTCTCAACTTTGTGGTGTCCCCTTTGGGCCTGGTGTCCTAAGCATGTGCTTAGTCTGTTTAATGGTTAATAGACCACTGTGTTTCAGTTAATTCCTCCTTGTTTTAGGTATAGTATATTTTAAGGCATTAAAAGGTTAAAAGAAACTATTATTTATGTAGACATTCTGTAAAGTGACCCTGGGCAGAAAACGGTTACAAATTGAATACTATACCTTATATTTTCCTTTCTTTCTAAAATTGCTCATTCCAGTCCATTAAATTCCATTTCAACTTTTATATCACCCTGAGAATTAGTTTAAGTCACATGTGGAAAATCCAGTTCCCTGTTTTCCAAAATCTTCTCTGGATCCTCTTTAAAGCACTGTTTGCTTCAGTGAAGAGTGAAGAAAAGAATTCAGTGTTCTGCTCAAAGTCTATTTTTTCCTTAGCCGTCAGCTGGCAGGGCAAGCCTTTATTCTGAAGAAGTTTGGAACTGAAAGGTATTGTGTTTGTTGTGGGGGGGAGAGAAACAATTGCACTGTGCCTCTCCATTAAGCCTGAGAGAAAAGAAGGTGGCTACATGAGGCTGGTTCTACAATCAGGCAAATCCAGAGGCTCACTTTGAGGAGCAGGAAAAGGAAGGTGAGAGGGCATGCAAAATGCAGTTCTGTCGGAGGGAGTTAGCTGAAAGGAAAGTTTAACTGTCTTGTTGTATTCTTAGTGAACTGCAAGTCAGGACATTTCAAGTTAGGAATTTTCTGTGGAAAGATGATGTCACACAGGTGTGTATCCAAAGCCACTTGTTGTTCCTTTTCCCTCCTGCTGGTTTTAATAACACTTTGATAATCTTGCAAACTGATCTGCAGCTCAAACCTTTTGATGCTCATAATTTCAGAGTAGGAAATTATAGGTGCAGGTTCACAAAAGATATCAAAAATAGATTAAATATGATTCATTTGAATTGATGTCATCCCACACAAAACTTAGGAGCATTTATAAAAACCTCCAATTGGTCCCAGTTGGGTTCTCAGATAAAGGAGTATCTGAACAAGTTAACAGACACCTCTGAAATACTTCAGCTTTGCAACGCAGGGCTGGCAGAGCAATGTAGATGACATTTTGATCACAGATTGGGGGTGATGTGTGAGAGCGGGAGGTAAGGAAACTGAACAAGCCTCAAATTTAAATGATTAGAAACCCAACTTTCCCCAGGTACTCTCACAAACTGGCTGCTATGGTCCACCTCAGTGTCACGCCAGAAGTCTCCCTTGCTGACTTGCCAGTGAAGATTTATGCCTCTGGCCTGGCGCCCTCTCAGCTTGTGACCTTATATGCATCACTGACAGATGAAAGGGGGGTGAAGTTCGTAGCCAGAGCCTTTTACCAAGCCAATCAGAATGGAGAAGTGGATGTGGCTCAGGCTTCTGCTCTGGGAGGCAACTATACAGGTGTGTGGCCCATGGGCCTCTTCTACACTCTAAAGGCTGAGAAGATGTTCCACAGGCTGCTCAAACGTGATGTGACAGGCAGCCCCTTCTATGTTCAGATTAGCGTCTTCAATTCTGCTGTGGTTGTACCCTTGTCCACACATGAACCACTGGCTACTTGTACTGTGGAACGATGGTATGCAGCCCCTGGAGTGGAACGCATCCCCATTAAGTCCGGCAAGGTCCGGGGAGCCCTCTTTTTACCTCCAGGTAAGGATTCTGATTTCCCTTCCACTTATCTTTATTTCCTCTATCTCTTGCTTGAAATGGAGGGTGCCTCCAAATGTATTTAGGGTAGTAGTGCCTAGACTTCCTGGCAGCATGGAAGCACAGTTGATTTCTGCTTGGATGAGCAATCCCATAATCTGTTATCCCTTTGAGATTAGCCAAACCAGGAGACCATCTTTACAAGTTTGTCTGGATCTATATTTTATTGATAACCACCAAATTTCCCCAAATTTCTTGGTTCCTGGTATCCCTAGTAATTCCCATATAGATTTATAATATTAATTTTCTTGAAGTATTCATCTTTTGTTGACTAGATTGAAAGGTCTGGTCTCCTTCTCTACCTCTGCCTCTCTCCTTTGGATGGAGAATGGCTGTTCTGAAGATATGAGCACAGAGCACTTTTCTCTAAATTGGATCATAATACTGATAAAAGAGACTATATGCCCATGCACAAAGCAAGTGAAGATCTGAACACTTTTTGAAAAAGGGGCACATAAAAATAGAAAGGCATGTTGTGTCACAAGGAGGGGAACAAATGCATCACCCAGATATGCACAGATGTTGTTGGGAAAATTAAAGCTAAAAATGAGTCAAAGTTAGTGAAAATTGTAAGGACAACAAAAAGTATTCATCATATATATCCAAAGGGGAAAAAAAACAGCAATTCATATATGAGCTACGAGAACTACATCTCATCTTTGGTCCAGTTTTTTTCTGAAAAGTACTCCATTGGACAGAAATATGCTCAGGGAACACTTACTGACTTTAAAGGAATTCAGTCTTTTGAATAACTAGATCAGGGGTCTTCAAACTTGGCAGCTTTAAAACTTGTGGACTTCGACTCCCAGAAGTCTTCCTCCAATCATGTTAGCTCAGAAATTCTGAAAGTTGAAGTCCATAAGTCTTAAACTTGCCAAGTTTGAAGATCCTTGGACTAGATCAGGGGTGGGCAAACTACGGCCTGGGGGCCACATCCAGCCCGTTGGTCTTTTTAATGCAGCCCGCCGAAGATTGGTACAGAATTAAGGTTTGATGTGAATGATTGAATGATTGCATTCATTTGATTTTGACTTGTAATGACAGGCATTTCGACACCAGGTGGCGGCCCGTCTGTCAAATGGTAAAAGTCAGTGAGGCCCCTGAGCCAAAAAGTTTGCCCACCCCTGGACTAGATGATTCCTAGACCACCAACCTGCTGATGATCTGGTCAAATCATTATCTTTGAAATTATCTTGGAGAATATGTGAAATACTAAATGACTAAAGCAGTGGTCGCCAACCAGTGGGCCACTGGTAGGCCGTGAGAAAATTTTGTTGGGCCGCAGAGAAATCTCACCTCCAGAGCACGCCCCCCAAAGCAATTAATCCAGGCTGCACAGAAACACAAGGCTGCTCGCCCACATGGCCCGTGGGAACCCTCCCTGCCCACTCACTCCTTACCCGGCAAACTTGTCTGCTAAGTTGCTATTTTTCCTTTTTCTGACAATCATCTGTTCTGCTGTGCTGGGAGATTTAGGTTTGCTAGAAAGCAGGAAATGGTTGGATTTTTTGCTTTCTAGCTAAGCACAGCTGAATCTCCCTTAGGACTGAAGGTTTGCTTGCAGGCAAATTCCGTGCAGACTCACGGCAAGCAAATTTGAGAGACTGAGCTAGCCGATGGCAGATAGATAGATCACTGAATGATTCTGTGAACAACTCAATCTGCCTGCCTGCTTTGCCTCTTATATAAATATAAATATTTATAATATTTATATAAATATTTATAATATTTACAAACAAACCATGCCAAGCCAGTCACATGGCCACCAAGCCACACCCACAAATTAGGCCATGCCCACAGAACCAGTTAGTGGTCCCTGGGATTTAAAATTATGAGTTTGGTGGTCCCTGAAGTCCAAAAGGTTGGCGACCCCTGGACTAAAGGATAAAAATACTGTCAGAAAGGAGGAACTGGGGAACTACAAATCAATCAATTTGGCATAAATATTTGGGATGTTTCTAGAGCAGATCATGAAAGAATTGACTTGTTAGCATCTTGAAGCAATATTTGAACTTTATATATTTACAGTAGTACTAATTTACAATATTTGTAGACCACCCCAGTTATGAGAGTCTATTATCACCCACCAGTATAAGTTAGCCTGTATCAGACTAATCTTTACTTTCTATTAAGTTTGTGGAAATGCTGTAAATACAACACTGAATACCAAGATTTCATCAATGCATTTGACAAACTATGGCATTCTCATCAGCAGCCTGGATTATTGTAATCGACTGACATGTCAGTTTGGATATATAGTGACTCGAAAATCATATTCAGATTTAATCTGAATATTTAATCATGATTCTTCATGAAACTGCAGTGAGATACTGAATTCAGTGCTGCAGACTTCAGCCTGGATCTTACACAATGTAATATTTTTTATTAATGTCTTTGATGAAGAGGCAGAGGGAATGCTCTTTAAATCTGCAGATGACACAAAATTAGGTGAAATAGTTGGTGCCCTAGAAGATACAGATAAAACTGAACATGGATGTAGCAGTTTAGAGAAATGGAACAAAAATGACAGAAACTTAATTGAGACAACGAAAAATCCTTCATGCATCTCACAAATAAGATGTGAGATGCATAACTTTCTAGCAGTACCTGTGAAAAAGAATTTGCAATAGTAGCTGAGTGAAAATTAAATTTGGCTCAGCAATATGACCTAGCAGCAAAAACAAAAAAAAGCAAATGCAGTTGTAGACATCATTAAAAGTTTTGTTCCCAAATCAGAGAAAGTAATGTATTTGATAAAGGGATATTACTCTGTTTTTCATTTCTTTACTTATCCTTGTTTTTTTCTCCCTCTCTGCCTCAACGCCAGGCACTGGGCCATTTCCAGGACTGATTGACCTGTTTGGTGGAGCTGGAGGACTAATCGAATTTCGAGCTGGCTTATTGGCTAGTAAAGGCTTTGCAGTCCTGGCTTTGGCTTTTTTTGCATATGATGATTTACCACAGACTCTGGAAGTAATAGATCTGGAGTATTTTGAGGAAGCATCCAGACTGCTCTTAAAAAATCCTAAGGTATGCCTGAGATTATAGTTTATCTTAAACTTCTTGTTGGGATTCAGGAAAGATCCTAGAGTTTATTCTCTATTTGCTATGCAGAATACTCCGTATATACCAGGCATGCTATGCACCCATCTGATATAACAAGCTAAAGACATTTTGGGCCTGATATGAGCACAGCACAGATCAGTAGCATTATTCTTGAGGGCAAAATGACGAGAGTAGCATTGCATTGCCACTTTTTGTATGTGCATTGTGACATCCCATGCACATACAAAAGGTGCAGGGCTGACCCCTCAATACTGCAATGCTCTTTTGCCATATTGTGGACACCCATGACACCTACTCCGTTTGGTTTTCATTAAAGCATACATTTTTTTCCCTTAAGCTTCTTTACATGTAGCTGAAAAACAAGCAAAAATATGCAATTGAGAGTCGTGCTAAAAGTGTACTGCTTTAAAGAGCTGATTCATAAAAGCAGCAATGTTTTTTGTCAGACTTGCTTGCTTCCTTCTCTGTCATATTTTCTTGTCACATATTGGCTGGCTGGCAGAAAGACAAGGTGACCAATTTTCCATTTTTAAATGGTGTAGATCTACAATATTCTAGCATGTGCACTAAAAGACTCATTTTTTTTATATCTTTGATATTGTTTGTTCTCATTGTTTTAAAGAAGAAGCTGATTTAAAATTTTATATATCTCTCTCTGTGTTTGCTCATCTAGGTAAGGGGTCCGGGACTTGGAGTTATTGGTTTATCCAAAGGAGCAGAAATTGCATTGGCCATGAGTACTTTCTTAAAGGAAGTAATGGCTTCAGTGTGCATCAATGGTCCAACAAGAATGTGTAATACACCACTCCATTTTCATGATGTCACTATCCCTGGAGCTTCCTTCAAACATGAGAAGCTCTGCATTAATGAAACGGGATTGGCATCCATTTTCTACTGCATGGGACATCCTCTGGATGAAACACCTGAAGTATCTACCATCCCTATGGAGAAGACTCAAGGGCACATCCTTTTTGTGGTGGGAGAAGCTGACCAAAGCTTTGATAGCAAGGCGTTTGCTGAAGCAGCCATAGCTCGAGAAAAGAAACATGGGAAAAATAATTGTAGCCTGTTGTCTTATCCAGGAGCTGGACATCTGATAGAACCCCCTGGATCACCAGTTTGCTTTGTCTATCCACTTCGGTTTCTTCCCTTGCCAATCCAATGGGGTGGGGAAATGAAGCCTCATGCTAAAGCCCAGGAACACTCTTGGAATGAGATCCTGAATTTTTTTAAGCTTCATCTTGGACCACTTCAGAACAGCAGTTTATGATAAAAGAAAGGGCCCATTGTTTAGCTTCTTTTAGAATTATGCATTTGGTTGGAGCCATTGAGGCCGTGAACTCCAGTCTTCTTACTCGGTGCAGGTTAAAGTTAAAACATCTTCTTTAGATGAAGAGGATCCCTCTAGCTCTTTGACTAATTAACTGCTCTTGGTGTTAGGAAATTTTTCAGAACATTCAAATAGAGCAGGGGTCTTCAAGCTTGACACCTTTTAAGATTTGTGGACTTCAACTCCCAGAATTTCTCCTCCAGTCTTGTTAGCTCAGGAATTCTGGGAGTTAAACTCCATAAGTCTTAAATTTGCCACGTTTGAAGACCCTTGAAATACAGTCTGCCTCATATGCTTATATGTCCCACAGTTTGAGGAGAAAACGGACATTAGCATTCTCTGTGGGCTTGTTAATGCTTTTATATCCTTTCTTCCATCTTTTGCTTTTCATAAAGCTGCACATGTCAGGATACTTTGTTGCCATTCTCTAAAACTACAACAGCTTGTGTGAGTTCTTAAAGGGTGGAACATTTCCTCCTGAGATTTGGAACTTTCTTCTGGTGCAAAGTAAATTACATTTGCTCATTTTTTATAACATCACAGTGCTATGTGATAGTTTTCAACCAACAACTATTCTAAGCTTTTTTTTTTTTTTTGAGATACTAGTGTCAAATCAAATATCTTCCACCCCATAAGTATTCATCTGAATTATGTTTTCTAAATGCTTAATTTCACCTTTGGTTTACTTTCAAAAAAATTTTTTTTTTACCAGCGGTTTATTTGACTTTTCTAGATAATTCTGACTTTTATTTCTATTCAGTTCGCAACCAGGTTTAACATCATCTGAAAATGTGATAACTTGGCAGTAATTGTAACCAGAAAGAAAGACCATGCATAGGATTTACTGATCCATAGTTTGTTTGATCCATAGTTCGTTGAATAAGCCATTGCTGCCTAATTCACATAAAATGCCAGTGACCATAGAATACAAAATCATCAACCTTTTTACGTTCACAAACCATAATGAAACATAAAGTGATTTGCTTGGATTTGCTCAGTGTGATGTGGGAACTCATTGTCAGCCCCAAGGAACCAAGAATGGCATAAGGAGCTACTTCTGAGTGCTCAGAGTACTTCACCACCAACTGGACAGTCTCAACTGTCAGTTGTCCTTTCAGCCTGCCCCTGCCATCACACATGATGATGTTTCACGGATGAGAAACTAAATGTTTTGTTCTTCTTCCTCGAGAAAAAAACAGTCCAGTTGCCTTTTCAAAAAGCACCTTTGAGACAACTATGACCTGGATGACTGAGAATCTCCACAGACACTGATTACACTACTTCAGAGTATTTTCTTGACTGTTACTTGCCAATAGATATAAATTTTGCCAGACTAAAGCACTTCTCAGTGTGACTATTAGATTTATCCTGTGAGCTGCAAGGGAGGGTCTGCTTTTGCCCTTTTATTACATACCAGAGATTCAAAGCTATGTTGTCTCTTTGCTCCCCAGGAAGGAGCTCATCCTCCTGTGATTCTGGACTACAGTCTAGATGAGATGGTTTATTATTCTGACATGGTTTATTATTGCTTTTAAAGGTGTAGCAACGTTTTGGCAGAATCTCATCTGCCATCATCAGTCTGTGGACAGACACAATATCCAGACAGACACAATACAGAAGCCTGATGATGCTTCCATAAGATTGATTGGTATTTCTTTAGTAGAAGTGCTCAACTGTAAAATGAAGTCAGTAATGGTTTCCCCCCCCCCCCCGCCCCAATTCCTATCCCAAAGAAAGCCTCAACCATTGTTAGGATAACCCATTTACAATATAAACAAAAAAGACTTCTCAGCCAAACCCAAAGCTAACTGTTCCTATCTTACATTATTTTATTGTGCGGATCAGTTACTATCTTAGCAAGTAGAAGCACCTAATTGTCCTTGGAAGCCAATATAGTTGGACCTGATTAGTACCCAAGTGGAAATATCCAAGGAAAAGCTTTGAAGACAGGGCATACTTCTTTTTGAGGCAAACAGACACCAAATGCAAAGCTATCTGTCACACTCTGTGTCCAGAAAATAAACTGACTATTGTCACACAAATGTGGAGTGGAATGGATGATTTCCAGAAATAGGCCTATGTGTTCAAGGCTTCTCTTTCTCCCAGATTTGCATATTAACAAATGGCATCAAGAAAACCTGGGATTATCAATAAAATGGGGTTGGTCAGTTGCTGTAAATTATTCTGAAGGATGTGATTTAGAACTGGATGTATCTAAGTAACCCATCTAGATGGCAGCGCCTAGCTGACCTTGGCTGATCCCCCCCCAAAAGCTAAGCAGGTATGTTCTGCTTAAAAGTATGTTCAGTACTTAGCTAGGAGACAATCATGAAAATTTATGGCAGTGCAGATAGTCCTCAACCTAGAATTGCAACTGAGCCCAAATTATGGTTATAAATTATGCCAGTCAATAATTAGGTCATCACATGAACAACTTGATTTTATAACTTTTTTTGCAGTGGTGGTTGTGAAGGGAATCCATTGGAAGCAAATCTGTTTCTGGCAAAAAGAAATGTCATAAATTGTGCTCATGGGAGCAGAAGTTGCTGTAAACAGCCATAAATATGCCACAAACAGCCGGTTGTGAAGCACCCAAAATGTGATCACATGACCTGAGGCGGAGGGGAAGCCATTGGAACTTAAAATCTAGGTCATAAGTAGAGATGGGAAGGCCTGGAAAAAAACTGGAAAAATTGGGAAGAAAGCAGGTTTTGTTTTTTTTCCACAGCTGTTTGGGAAAAAAATTGGAAAAAAAACCCAACCTTTTTTCCCAATTGTTCCCTTTTATTCCAGGCCTTCCCATCTCTAGTCATAAGTACTTTTTCGGGAGGAGGGTCTGTTGTAACTTTGAACCAGAGGTGGTATTCAGCAGGTTCTGACCAGCTCTGGAGAACCGGTAGCGGAAATTTTGAGTAATTTGGAGAATCGACGAATACCACCTCTGACTGGAGATTTTACAATATCCTTCCCCTGCCACGCCCACAAAGCCACGCCCACAAAACCGATAGTAAAATAAATTGAATCCCACCACTGCTTTGAATGGTCACTACCTGTAAGCTAAACAGAAGTTGAAAAATACTAATGAATACAGCAAAGGTGAAAGCTTCTATTATTGTTGCCAAGAAAATTAACAAACGTGTCTTTTATGTCAGTGGAAGTCAAGATCAACTCAAAGGAGTCTTTGTTTTTTGTGGGGGCTAAATATTTTTGGTTTTTTATTTTTCTATCCTTTCATTCCTTCTTTTGCACAGTGAACTTTAAAATATCAAGATAAGGGAGTCAGTTTTGAAAACAGGACTTTAAGAATCATGATTAGGAAAAAAGAAAGGAACAAGAGTGGAGCCTGAAGAGGGATATTTGGATAGAAGTCTTTAAAAAAAATATTTTAGAATTAAGATAACAACTCTCGTTATTTTAAGGAATCATAGCATTATTATCTTAATTCTATAATTTATATAGGTGCCCAGAGAAACAAATTACAGATAGTTATGAGGATGAAATATAAAAATTGTTGTTTGGACGGGTGAGAAAAATGTGATTTAGCACATTGCTATTGAGCCAAGCGGAACTGAATAGCCTGGTAAAAGCAGATTGGGAACTTCAGGGAACTCTTGCTGAGAGCACTTCAAGACTGGACAGTGTCATAGACACCACAAGGCTAAATTGACCAGATTCAGACTGACAGAAGAATGGCCATCTGATTGTTAACTCTTGAATATTCATTGATAATTGCCCAACCATATTAAGCAGGAAACACTAAAAGGGATTAAATCTGCAAATAAGACTCAGTTAACTTCACAAGGGGTCTCAGGTAGTCTTATTTATGACTACACAAGACAGGAGGGTTTTGATGGCAGAAAAGGCATTATAATTGCCAAATTTTAAAACCAAACCCTGGGCAAGTTTATATTTTGCCCAGTAGAATTCCATCACTTCCTTTGACAAATTCATTCTGTGTATTTAGGTTTTTGTGATAAATGTTTGGATCAGGATTAAGAATTTCCATTTTCCCTTGGCTATGTTTGCATAACACTTTTCAAGCTTCTGTGAACTATTTTTAACCTTGGCTATGTATTTATTTCTCCCCTTATCCACCCAGGTAAAAGGCCCCAAAATTGGAGTTATTGGCTTGTCCAAAGGAGCTGAAGTTGCATTAGCCATGGGAACCTTCTTAGAGGAAATAGCAGCTGCAGTTTGCATCAATGGTGCCACAAGTATGAATGGTACACCCCTCCATTTTCACGATATCAACATCCCTGCTGTTCCCTACTCGACAGAGGCAATTCTCATCAATGAAATTGGATTGATGTCCAGTTTTTATGTCATGGGAGATCCTCTGGATTCAGCTCATGAAGTCTCTGCCATTCCCGTGGAAAAAGCCCAGGGTCACATTCTCCTTGTGGTAGGAGAAGCTGACCAAAGCTTGAACAGCAAGATGTTTGCTGAAATGGCCTTAGGCCGTGCAAAGAAGTTTGGGAGAACTAACTGTAGCTTATTACATTACCCTGGGGCTGGGCATATGATAGAACCACCGGGATCCCCAATTTGTTTTTTGTCTTTTCTCCGGGTTAGTCCTATGCCCACAATATGGGGAGGAGAGTCGAAGCCTCATGCCAAAGCTGAGGAACACTTCTGGAAAGAGGCCCTGAAATTTTTTGAGCTCCATCTTGGCCCAGCTGGAAAGCTATGTTATGAGAAAAACGTGCACATTTCATAGGTTCTTTGGGTCCACAAGTATTATCAAAATAAGTCTACTCCAGAAGATAGAAATTAGCTTCTCATAATGCAGATGTCATAAAGATTAACTAGAGAGTAAGAATCATGTGCCATGACAAGCCTCTGGAAATGCAAAAAGATGAGTGGTACTTGTCTTGTTTGGTCTATTGTGAATTTCAGAGGATTTCTATACATTTCTATTTCAAATAAAATGATGAGCTAATTATAAATATATTGTCTTTGAAATGAATTATTTGGCCTCTTGAGTAAAAAAATCTCCATAAATTCTCAACATTTTGCATCTATTGAAAACAGCTTGTTTTATAAGCAGCTATCATCTGCAGGATTCCTAATTAATCTCAGGGTAGGATCTATGTAAACCATGCTTGGTTCTATTGGGATACTGACTTACATGCATTATAAAGTTATTCAATCATTTATTTCCATTTTTACCTTCTTACTGTTTTAGTATGATTTAGGTAAAAATGTTAAAGAGATTACATAGTGGCCCGAGGGTTGCAGAAGGCCGTGGCAGCCAAAAACGGAGCTTGGGAGCCTGTTTTCACTGGCAGAAGCACTGCGGGCCGGTCCTTCACTGTTTCCAGGATGGCCCTGCAGGCCAGATCAGACCCCGTGGGCCAGATTCAGCCCCCCCTGGGCCTTGAGTATGACACCCCTGACTTAGTGCAATCCTTAAACTTAATCACAAGTAGGAAAAATGGCAGTAGCTACCATCACCACCACTACATCTCTCATCAACATTGCCATCTCCAGTTGATCCTCCACTTGCTCAAGGCTGAAGGTAGAGGGCTAAGTAGTATAGCTGGTCCTCAACTGTCAACCATTTGAAGATAAACGGCACTGAAAAAAAGTTACTCATAACAGTTTTTCATACAGCCATTGTAGCATCTCCATAGTCATGTGATCAAAATTCAGACACTTGGCAACTGGCATGTATTTATGATGGTTGCAGTGTCCTGGGTCCTGCGATCACCTTTTGTTTCCCTTAACAACTGTGTTACTAACTTAACAACTGTCATGATTTACCAAACAACTGTGGCAAGAAAGGTCATAAAATGGAGCAAAACTCCCTTGTCTAGCA